AAGTGTTCTTTATTACTGAAATGCATCATAATGCATAACCCTGAATTCTGCTGGAAATCTTTGGAGCCTGAGTGGTCTAAAGAACATAGGTTCTGTAAACACATGGACCCCAGACTTCTTTACTAGACTTTAAGTGGAAAATGAAGGATAAGCTCATCCCTACTTGTTACCAACACAGGTCGTGGTATGATTCTAAGAAAAATATTTTGTATCCACTAAATCTGATTTATCTTTAAGGGTTCCACCCATGAGATTTGCTGCCATTGCAATTCTGTCTTTTTTTCCTCATCAGTTCTCCACCTCCTTTGTCTCTGGAGGACTATCTTCGAAATTTTGATTACTTTCTAGCATATGGATTTTTAATTTTCTGAAAAGGTATAAAGTAGCCAGGATTGGGTAATGGAAAGCTCCCCAGACTGGTGCAGGACTTCTTGGTTCTCATTCTGATGCTGCTGCTACTGAGACATAAGAGCTCTGGGTCTCCCCCCGCCTCAAGTGTAAGATGCAGGGGCTGAACGAACAGCCTTCAAAGTCCCTTCAAGCTCTGTGATTCAGTGATAGGAAATTGAAGCTTTGGCTGTTAATTTTTCCATTGATTTCTGAAATTCTCCTTTAGTAATCCCTGACTCTGAAATAAGTCAAATATTAAAATAGCATGATGAAGTTACTGTCGACACTCTCTTTAAATAACTTTAAACTGCACAATCCTAGCTTTTCAAAATGAAGTTTGGGGAAAATCCATTTTCAGAGAGTTCATAATTAACATGCATTGTATAAGCAGCTACAGCAGCCTACTCTTCATTATTAACATATAGCATAGTTTGTCAATTCACTGGTGAATGCTTCCAGTTTCGGGAAGCCCTCTGGGTAAAGCCCTGCTTAGCAGGTTTAATGTGAAGAGTTGGTGTCATCCTAATCAGCTGTCCCTGACAGAGTAAACATGGTTCCGTCTGTGCTGTCCCTCCCTGGCTGGCTGTGGGTTTCCAGCCCACTGAGCATTTGATGCCAAACAGTCTGTTAAGGGACAAGGAAGAGACTCTTTGGGGATCCCTGGTATTTATCACTGTTTAGGAAACTTGAGGTTCAAAGGGCCAGGACTCATATACACCAGTTTTATTCTAAATATTTGATTTGATTAAGGACATGTTGAGGGATTGTTAGCTTTTTTGGCTTTTTTTCTTTAGCATAAGATGACACTGCTGTTCTGCTCAGGTGTGTTTTTGTTAACCCTGTCTTTTGTGTAACTAAATATAGTTCAAAGACCTGGCATACCATCCAAACTGTCGGATTTTTTTTTTCAAGTGAATAAGTCTTGATTTGTTATCCAACTCTGAGATGTTGCTCACATAAGAAAGTTCATTTCCAAAGAAATGAATCAAATTGCTTTTTAAGTACGGACTCTTAAAAGTATAAAATCTATTTAAAGTCAGTTGTTACAAATGATTGTTTCCTGAGCAGAAATGTATAAAATAAAACAACCATAACTTAATTGTAGAAACACATGTGTAGACACACACGTAACTATATATATTAGGGAGGTAGGGTGGCAGGAGGAGGTGCGCTGTTGAAAGAAAATGGTACAATGAGTAGCTAGCTGGTGGGGGTTTTCACGAAAATGACTAGGAACAGACTGAATCTTCTTAATTCTTGCATTCTTGTTCCTTAGTTCAAAGTTGTGAAATTTTCCAGTTCAATATGTCCTGCATTTGTTAACTTGATTAAACATATTGATTTTTCATAATTAAAAGGCAGTTTACTATTTTATAATGATGTGCTAATTCTAAAGTACATGGAAGTTTTGTCCAAAAGCTTTTTATTTTAGAAGTAAATGTAAAGGTGATATGAAACTTCTTGCAGGAAGCCGTTCCTTTACACGTGTACAAGTGTGTGTACGTATCTGTAGTTTCATAATAGCTTTTCAGTAGAGTAGTTATTGTAACACTAAAGACAACACTTGGATAAGAAGAAGAAGAGGAGGAGAGGGGGAGGAGGAGGAGGAGGAGGAATACAATAAGCATTCTGTTTGAAAGTGTGTTAATTAACCTAACTTCATGCCTAAAATATTCATGTATGTATCTATTTATGTTTACAAAAAAGTAAATATTAGAACGTCAGGTGAAGAGCAATAAACTACGTAGGTAAAGTACAAAAGGAATCCCCAGTGCATTTTAGTCCTCCCTGAGATATTTAGAAGAGACAACTTTTATTGGTTGAAAAATAATTGATTTTGTACTTGAAAAATAATGCCTTTGGGATTTTTGTTGTTTTGTTCATGGTGTAACTTTTTCCTATTTGGTTTCAATGTATCTGTGCTCATTCCCCACTGAAGAGAGTAATGGAATTTTCAGGAATATCCGAGGAGCTATAGCCAGGGTTTTAGTGGACTGTTGGCCTCAGAGCAGTGTAGGAAGTGATTATTGTAGCAACTGAGTCTGAATTTTTTCTCTTACAAAGATCTGAGGGAACACAGTATATGTTTGCCATGTGTAACTTCTACTGGGTAGGAGATTTATTGCCTTTAAAGTAATCTGCACAATAGAGCCTGTAATTATAGATTGTAACAAATGCATCAGGGCAAGTGGTCTTGCCTGAAAAAGTTTAAACTTTTCTCTGGCACCTGTCACATTAACATTGAAATGATTCAAGTGCTATTTTTCAGTATGAACCATTTTAAGTAGAAAAAACACCGTGAGAACTAAGCCAGTCATAAGAAATAATGCAAAATCATATTTTAGAGATACAAAGCAATTCATAGTTAGTCTTTATAATATATTTTTTTCAGGTCAAGAACATTGAAAAAGAAAATAAAAATATTTTCTTGTTCACCTTGAGTATGATTATCGTTTCATTTTTATGATGAATTCTATCATTCTACTTTTATTAGCAAGCAAAAAAAAACCCAAAACATTAATTTTAAATAAGGGCCCATAAAAAATTCTGTACTTATTGGGATCTGTAAAAAAAAAAAAAATCAGTTTTGCTTACTGGAAGGGTAAAATGCTGTTTAATATACTTCTCTCTTTGCAATTAAATTAGATTTCTTTTAGTGGAGAAAAACTCATAAAGGATACAGCCTTGGAGATGTAATATGCTCTAACATATTTAAATAATTAGACTTCTGTCTCATTGAAATGTATGTGCTCTAGGTTTGATAGTGATAAAAGCATGAATATTAGTATGATTAGGAAATTACATCATGTCACAGCATAATTGATTGATTGATAGCTGAGTGAAAACTAACCATAAAGCACGTGAAAATAAATGCCTGTTCAGTAGTTATTCGGGCAGAATTTTTACATCTACCCAGTTGCAAGATTAGTAACTGAATGCTCATCTCCCAAACGAAATAGAACTGATGTTTCTTCCTTTTTTTTACTCTGTGTGTGTGTGTGTGTGTGTGTATTCACGCACTTTCATTATAACACTGGCAAGGAAAAGAATACGATTCAAAGTGCTTAGTGCTCAATTCAGGAGCTAATTGTTCCTCAAGACCTGTCAGATGGACACTAGATTACTAATTGACTCTATGAGCAATTAGTGTTTTGGAATTTACTTTCAAAGTCTCAAGTTTTAAATGTAAAGCTTCACTAACACAAGTGTGGATACTCTTTTTACTCATCTCTTGAGAATTGAATTTCCCAAACATTTAAACTACCATTAATTTTTAAAAAGCATTTTGTCTTTTTTTTTTCTGTTTGTGCTTTCGCTTTCTCATTCCCTGCCCTAATCTATTAAAGATTCCTGCTCACACAAGTCTTTGGCAACACTCACGCTAGTGGAGAAGGGCTGGAGAAGCGAGACCACTGCAGGATTCTCTGTTTCAAAGCTGAACCAATATTCACCATTGACATATCCATTCATCTGTGCAGGGTCATTGGAAATCCTCTCTCTCTAGTTTTTCCTTCCCTTCAGGGAGCAATGCTTAAAAGAGCAAACCCCTGGTGTGAAGAGATAGGAGAATTCTCAGCATGGCCAATGGTGCCAGGAATCGAATTAAAGTTGTCCATTTGCAGATGACCAGCTGTTGGAGCTCCCAGCACATGGAGGCCCTGTGCTTTCAGTTGATGCTTTGTTTACTTGAAATTCTGTCGGTGGCACTTCAATTTAATTTTTTTTGATGACAAAAGCCGTATCATGCCAAAAATATGCCAGGAGGGTAACAACACTAAGATATGTGCTGCTCAATAGACTTATAACATTTTATTAGATTCCCAAGGCTTGCTCAAGGAAAAATAAAAATTTTAAAGCTTTGCAGGAAAGGACTGTGCTCCACATTGCAGTAGCCAAAAAAAAAAAAAAAAAAAGTTAAATCATTACTGAATTCACTTCTCTTTTGAGGAATTTAAAACTTGTCATTTCTTCTGCAATTGTTGACATTCCCAGATCCATTTTGGCATAAATCACATTTTGATACAACTGAACCCACAATTTTGACTATCTTCATATGCATTATCTCTTCTTGGTGAGAGGCACTCAGAAGACACGTGCTGCCATCAAATCTTAGATGCCCGAAGTCAGCACTGAAGGTGTTTTCTCCAGTTTGATTTTCTTTGTTATCATAGGAGGCGTTCGCGTGGCTTAATTGGTTGGGCAAAGTTAAGAACTGTCAGAATTAGCTTTGCAAGGAAAGATTTGAAAACCCCAGGAAGAACGTAACCTGTTCAGGAGACGGAAGTTGAGAATACGTAGTCCTCCTGCCAAGTCCCCGAGAACCAAGCATGTTTCAACAATTGTCAGCTTTGAGTTTGTGATTGCCACTGGTTCGTTATGTTTCTACTTTCACTTTAATTTCTCTCCGTTTTATTTGCAAATAGTGAAGAGTGCCTGGCACAAGTAGGTCCTCAATAATCTTTATTGATAGAATGAATAAATGATGTTTAATATTTTTTTATTTATAATTAAGATTTTTTTATTTTGCTTTGTTTTTTTAGTACCTCATTAATAAAAAATTGTCATGTGCTTTACTTGGCAAATTCTATTTAATGCTTACTTTCCCCCAGATACAAGTTTTACATATATCCCTAGGATTGCATTTGGAAAAACGTGGGAAATACATGTGCCCTAAGCATCTATACCTATTCAGATGTCTCCTGGCTACAGTTCGTTGTGCGGCGGCTTGTTCCTACCACCTTCATTATAATATCACCCTTGGAAAGCAGGTACGCGTAGTTTGAGAAGTAGTATTGTAGCAAACAGTTTAATCTCACTAAGTGACCTTACACAAAAGAGAAAATGTACAGTAACAAACTTGTAAAAAGGGCAAACTGTATTCTCAAGCAACCCAGAACGGATTTTAACCACAATGAATGGACTGTGTCATCATTTTAAGAGCAAGCTACACAACTGATTTTAGAAGTACCTACCTACTCTTTAGATTTATTACAAAGTACAGAGCATGACTCTTTTCCCAAAAGCGTCCCCTCCAAAAAAAAAGAAACCTTATCTCTCATCTCTCTCTCTTTCTCTCTCTCTCTGTCTCTCTATCCATTTATCTGTTTTTTAAGCTATGCTAAGGAGCAGTTCCCATTGGTGCAATGAAGCCGTTCCTTTTCTTGAGTGATCTAGACCTTTTTAAAAAATGACATATCTGGTTATCCATAATATAAAATAACAGATCAGAGTTACCATGGTGCAGATTCACATCTTAAATATCAGTCTGTTCCCTCTAACCATTAGCTATCAAGTATCGTTTGGACCAGTCATGGCATAAACTCTGTTGAGAGAGTTTTACAAATAGAATGCAAGTGATGTGACTTCAAGTATAAGAAATTTAAAAGCATATTTATAATTCTTGTTCCTGATACTTGGTTACCTATCCAAAGTTTTTATTTTTTTTATTTTTATTTTTTTTAAAGATTTTGTTTATTTATTTGAGAGAGAGAATGAGATAGAGAGGGAGAGCATGAGAAGGGGGAGGGTCAGAGGGAGAAGCAGACTCCCTGCCAAGCAGGGAGCCCGATGCGGGACTCGATCCCGGGACTCCAGGATCATGACCTGAGCCGAAGGCAGTGGCTTAACCAACTGAGCCACCCAGGCGCCCCACCTATCCAAAGTTTTTAAACATAACATTTAAGTATAAGGATTAAACATTTTATCACAATCTTATTACCTGTTAAGTCTTATTCAGTAGCACCCATAGGTCTTGCACCCATAATGCATGATGGGTCTAGCACCCATAATGAAGTCTTATTTTATTTGTTAGATTTTGTGAGGACTGTATTAATGAATATTATAATCATCAAGTGCATTCGATATTAAGCATACATATAGTAAGTACTAAGAGAAAATATATATTATTCTGATTTTATAAAAAAAATAGGTACTATTTATGTAAATAGTGACTGCTCTGTGTTTCATAAGAATTTAGTTGGTCTGGTTTTATCACTAATTTGACATTTTTGCTTATTTAATTTTTCCTTTCTTATTGATGGAGCACTTATTCTGTGCGAAGTACAGTGGGAAATGCTGGAAACATAAAATGAATAAGACAGTCTTTGCCTAGTGAAAGAGATGAACACATAAACAAATGCCATAAGTGGCTAAATGATTCTGAATAGGAATTTACCACAGGAAAGTTATACATCTTCCTTTTAAGTTCCCAAAACATTTTCTTGCATAGCTATGTGTAACTAAGAATCAGACATCACTAGTCACTGAACACTATGCAAAAGAACAATCATATTCACTTATCACATATAATTTTGATAGAAAAACACACTGTAGCATCACACAAGTTCATAAGATGTTGATACACACACACACACACACACACACCCCCCAATGATAAGTACTGAAAGAGATAACTGACCTCAAGGACCTCGCAGTCTAGTGGGACTGCCAAGAAGGAAAGAAGAGTATAGGGTAGGGAAGGGCATCACAAGTAGAAAGAACAGCGTATATAAAGACATAAAGTAGGAGAAAGTGTAGGATATCCCTTAAAGTTAGTAGTGTGTACAGCATGCTGTCAACAATATAAGAACTAGAACTACAGAGAAAAATTCCAAGTAAATTTTAAAATACTCAAAGGAAAATGAAAACTTTTAAGTAAAAAGTAGCTTTAATGGAAGTCATTGCTACATGATTATAAATAATGGTCACTTTTTATTTATGTAGTTTCCATATTTTTAAATAATAAGCTTGCATTTTAAAACCAGGGAAAGTTTCTTTTTTTAAAAGTAAGTCCCCCAAAAATATATACAAATAAGAACTGGAGAGACCCTGCTGAAAAGGGACAAGGTTGACCTAAAGCAATAGCATGGGAATGAAGAAGAATCAGATGTTAGTGTTTTAAAGGATTAACTGAGAACACTATTCTTGATTGAACATAGGGTAAGAGAGGAAGAGCTAGATTACCTGAAGGCTGAATTTTCTTTTCTTTTCTTTTTTTTGTTACTTTTTCTTTTTTAAAATATTTTATTTATTTATTTAACAGAGAGAGACAGTGAGAGAGGGAACACAAGCAGGGGGAGTGGAAGAGGGAGAAGCAGGCTTCCTGCCGAGCAGGGAGCCTGACGCTGGGCTCGATCCCAGGACCCTGGGATCATGACCTGAGCCAAAGGCAGACGCTTAACTGACTGAGCCACCCAGGTACCCCTTGGCTGAATTTTCTTTGCACAGTTTGAGAACTTAACTCTAGCTGCTTGTGAAAGTTATTTTTGTTAAAAGTAACACAGTAAGTTATTGGCAGGGCCAGAAAAAGGATTATTCTCCTAATTATAAATTAGTAGCAGAAAGATCAAAGGGCATTTTTTATTGTGCTTCTGAAATCTATCTACCGGTAACTTCTCATTATTTCTTTTTAGTTCTGTCCCTTGGAATATCAAAGAACTCTGGCAATGATAGTTCCAGGAAAGTAACATAATGTTCTAGTTGCTTTCCTTCCATCTTCTCATTCTCACCCTCAGAACAACCTTTCCAAGGAAACTATTATTATCTCCATTTCATTTTTTTTGTTTTTTATTTTTTTAATTTAAATTCAATCAATTAACATATAATCTATTATTAGTTTCAGAGGTAGAGTTCAGGGATTCATCAGTCTTATATAATACCCAGTGCTCATTACATCAGGTGCCCTCCTTAATGCCCACCAGCCAGTTACCCCATCTGTCTACCCCTCTCCCCTCCAGCACCCTCAGTTTGTTTCCAATGATTAAAAGTCTCTTACGGTTTGTCTCCCTCTCTGATTTCGTCTTGTTTTATTTTTCCCTCTCTTCCCCTATGATCCTCTGTTTTGTTTCTTAAATTCCACATATGAGTGAGATAATTGTCTTTTCTCTGATTGACTTATTTCACTTAGCATAATACCCTCTAGTTCCATCCGCATCATTGCAAATGGCAAGTTTTCCCTTTTTTGATGGTTGAGTAATATTCCATTATACATATATTCATTCCACATCTTCCATATCCATTCATCTGTTGAGGGATATCTGGGCTCCTTCCATAGTTTGGCTATTGTGGACATTGCTGCTATAAACATTGGGGTGCCGGTGCCCCTCTTTGATCACTACATTTGTTTCTTTGGGGGTAAATACCTAGTAGTGCAATTGCTGGGTCATAAGGTAGCTCTATTTTCAACTTTTTAAGGAATCTCCATACTGTTTTCCAGAGTGGCTGCACCAGCTTGCATTCCCATATTATCCCCATTTCAAAGGTGGGAATACTGAGACATAGGAGGGCTAAGTCATTTGCCTCAGGTCCCATGACTAGTTACTGGAAGTCTAGGGGTTCAGACCTGGAACAATTCAAATATATGCCAAGATTCAATCCACTGTGGTCAGAATATGACAATACTGACATTTCAGCAGAATTAACAGTTAAGAATTAAAGGTCCTTATTGTGGCCAATTATGATTTTTTTAAAGATAGTTCTTGGTAAGAAGAGTGAATAAAATATTATCAACAGTATAAAAATAATTTTGGTAAAATATCTAAAATACTCTATTTACTTTTTTTTCTTTCAGTAAATGCAAGTATTACATCCTATAGCAAATTCTACATCATTAATTTCTTTTTTTTCTTCATAAATTTTCTGCATTCTATAAAGTATATACCAATTGGCAGACTCTAACCCAAAATGACCATAGATATTTTATGGGTAGAAGTTAGTAAGAGATCCAAAAATTGCAGAAAGGTCTAGAATCATACTTATTGGTTATACTTTCTCCTTCTCAGAGGTGAGTACCCATGACAATGGAAATGGACAACCCTAGTTAAGAAAGTAACTTGTTCAAGAGCTCTGGAGGTGGGGGCACCTGGGTGGCTCAGTCAGTTGGGCATCTGCCTTTGGCTCAGGTCGTGATCTCGGGGTCCTGGGATCAAGCCCCACATCAGGCTCTCTGCTCAGCGGGGAGTCTGCTTCTCCCTCTCACTCTCCCTCTGTGCTATCTCTCTCTCAAATAAATAAATAAAAATTAAAAGACAAAAAAGAGCTCTGGAGGTGAAGGTGGAAGGATTGTTTTTTATATGAAATATATCTTGCTCAGTGTTGGCCTACAAGATATACCAAAGCCAATGTGTGGAAATAATACAAGATTTGAGTAAAAGGAGTAACAAAGCTACTAGAATAAGAAGAGTAAACTTAAATTCTGGCCCCAATTCTGCCAATTATTGGCTTTGTAATAGTAATTTATTCATTGCATACGTTATGTCAATTGGCATTTATAGCAATTGTGTGGGGTTGACTAGTGAGGAATTTTAAATTCAGAGACTGATCTTAAGACCAAGATTACTGTAATAGTGACTAGGGAGCTAGTACTAAAATGTATGTCTTTTGGCTCCTAACATAGTATCTTCTATTGAAAAAGAGGAAAAGAAGCATAAACAATATTTCTTTTAATTTTGGAGACCACTAAATTATTTGATACAAGTCACTACAACCATCCTTTGCCCCAGATGAAAAGGGCACCATGTATTAGAAGGTCCAGTCTTGCCCTCTTCCAACACTCTCATATGCCCTATTGTGAGGAGTCCAAGGGCCATGAGGATGTTTCAACTTAGAATCCATGCCCTCCTTGTAGACCATGTTCCAGATACTTGGAATTCCGAGTCCACTTCTAGGACCCATGCAGGGCTCTTCACCAGGTCTGTCCTCCCACAGGTGGAAAGTGTCCTCCATGTGTGTACTTCTGGACCCAAGTGGAGGCCAAGAGGCAGCTGGTTGG